TATACAGAAGTTAGCCTGCATTTGACCAGAACCACCCCGTGTCTCAAAAAATGAGTTCTGTCTACAGCCTGCTAAATCGAGCCAAAACAGGCGCTTCTGGTTAAGAAAGCTATAAACCATAAAGCAAATACCTCTTCAAATTATCTTCCTAAAACACATGACTCTGTACTTCGCTGTGTGAAGCATCCTGAGGTCAAACAGAAAGGCATTTCAAACACTACGGCCACCCAGGCACAAAAAACATTGACCTGGGGAACTTTTCTATATGTAGAAAATGTATTCGAGCTCGTCGAAAGACAACTGAAAAACATGAGGCGCAAACAGCAAACCAATCCGTAATTACCTTGTTCACATAGCTCGTACAACCTGAGGAAAGGGTTGACTACCTCGATAGAACAAGTGTTGACTACAAAATCTCATGTTCCAGTTGTGGTGCCGTCTACTGTGGCCAAACTGAGCGATCTGTCTCAACTCGTATACATGAGCATCAGTTAGCGGTGAGAAGACGAGATGATCTATCCCAGGTAGACATGCGCACACTAGACGGTGGACACAAATTTAAATGGGACAACACTCGCATTGCTGACAGCAGCGTACTCTGATGAAGGATGCATCGATAGGCAGATCGTCTTAGATGTCACACAAAACTTCTCAAGGGCGAGTGACAGAGAGTGCAGCCAATGCCGAGCAGATGACGAAATGCAATTGACGCTCATTAGCGCAGGCTTCGTCCAACAGCGGGATCACTAGTTCGGCACGGTTAAATAGGCAACTGTTTTCGTACATGACTAATAAACCTGACGACGAGCTGGTGAATTAGTCTCGAAAATGTGCGCAAAAAGGTTATTTTGTTCCCGAAGAATCCCACCTTCATAATATATATATCTAATGGTAGAAGGGCGGTCACCGATCATGCTACGGAACTCACCCGCCCCGTTATGCTTTGGGACTTTCTCTCGAGCCCAACCAATGGCCGCGCAGTGGCGCGTACTGTAGGCAGAATAGCATATATATACAGTGAGTGACCTATCTCATGAAATGTTGGCTGAAATTCTGAAATGCGTTTTCGATTAGGAAGGATTACTTGGTCGCGGTTGTAATACTGCTTATCTTGTGGCATACTCCTATGACATTTCGGACTCGGCAGGATGTCGGCTTTTTAATGCAATTCTTTTCAATCTCCTGCAGAAAGCGTGCTCGGTGAAAAATGGCTACTTAAGCAGCATGCATTTTTCCCATTGATTTTCGATGGTCTTGGAAATTCAAATATATTTTATGGAAACCATGAACAAAAATATGCTTTCTTTGAGGCAATCAATAGAAAGTCACGTCTTCTTTATATTTTATACTTAAGGAACTCACATTTCTGCTTTTGTCGGAGACTTATCTTTTTCGCGATGGTGCAGCATTTAGTCATGATGACGTAACAGTTATACGGGAAGGTTTCAGTACTTAAAAGATCTAGAGTCTATTAAGCAGTGCACAGTTTAGAAATGGGTGTGTTAGAGGGGAATGATGTTATTGGGGGTGGGTTCTGCTGGCACGTTCCCACAAGCAATATGATCAACATTCAACAATGACGGTGGAATGATCTTGGGGGTTGTCGTGTTCATGCGGTGCAGTGTGGTCTGAGAGTGATGGTTACATTTCTGTCTAACCTGAGTCTCAAGTGGAAATATTGATTCTTCGTCCCGGAAAGCTCAAAAAGCAGAATACCCGACGTGAGTGCAGGGGATCTGCGCCCTACGCCTGTTTAAGGGCCCCGGCCTTCTGTTTAAGGTAGTTCAATTTGTCTCTCGTCTGTTGCGGTTAACTGTTCTGCAGTCGGTCTCCAACTCGCCATCAGTGTATGCCGTCTTTTGCTTAAGTTGAAAAGTCGATTGTCAAAATCAGGCATTTATTCAGCAGCCCTTTCCGACTGGGTCTGGACTCCATCTTTAGAGATGCAGAACTCATGAGAAAACAACCCGGTTGAAGTGAAAACTGATCAGTCTGCATACACGAGCATGAAGTAATCAAGACGTGGGACCGGAGTCAGAAATAGCTAAACAGGCCCTTTGGACGCGCGACCGCGTACTGAGCGCTATGCAGTCAGCCCGGAGGCGGTGATTCAGATCAGAGACCGCCAGAATGGTCGGTGTAGCCCTCCACAATGAAATACGACCGGGCCAATTGGCCAATTCAGAATTTTGACCGCTTTTGCAGACATCTGATAGAGCTGGTCGAGCTGCCGAGTCAAAAGTTGTGTTCCACGTGTCAGAACAAAACTAGTGAACACGGGCTTATACATTATTGTTTTGGCGATAAAAATATTCCTCGATACCTCATTCATGTTTTTGTAACACTCCTCTCACAATGTAACTGATGCCTTTTTCAGAAGATTACAAATACGGACCTTGACTTCCGAGTTTTTGACTTCTAACCAGTTTTGACGCCTTTTAGACTAGAGGTGGCTTCCCTTTTTTCCGTTTATGTACTTAGCAGTGTCTCAAGAAATGCACATGATTGACGGTACGTGTGATAGCAAGGAGATGGTTGTTTCCGTCGAATTACGAGCACCGTATAAAAGGTCGCAAAAATGGGAAATGCAGGTGCTTGTTTTTTTTCATAAGGTTTTCGCCAAAATGCTTTAGCCCAAACAGGACATAAAATTCTCACATGAGATAAACAATTACAGTAGATGGGATAAATCATGAAGTGCCAACGAAAATTCCGAAGTGCGTTTTCGTTTTGAAAAGATCAATTAACAAGGGTTGTAAAACCAATCATCATACAGCATAATTCTATAATAATTCAGTTACCCCAGGATGTCGGCTTTCGAAAGACTTCTTTGTGGTTGCATGCAAGAAATAAACTCTGCACAAATTGACTACTTAAGTAGCATGCATTTTCTCGTTGGTTTTCGATGTCCTCAAAAATTCAATTGTATTTCATAGAAAACATGCTCAAAACTATTCATACATTCGATAGGAAATGATGTCTTCTTCCAATTATGTATCCGGGGAAAGAGTATAATTAGGTTTTCAAAAACGTTTCCAATTCCCGAATAATTTTAAACCCGACCTGCTGTTACACTTACATTCAGGGATTCCAAACAGCAAGCCGTATAGTTCCCGCGTACGGAAAACCATGCATTTCTCTACGGTATTAAGAGGAGACCATATGGAAGGCATAACATTTAGCAGTGAATTTGAGCCGTATTGTTAACTTTACGAGCCACATTGGTAAATGCAGAGACATGGCGACGGCCATTTCACGGTATTTAAAAGTCCCACAATTAGAAACTTTTTGAAAACCGAATTATTTCCCTCCCTCGAGCATAATACTATAAGAAGACGTAATCTTCTACCTAAGGAGCTAGAGAATGAATACTTTTGTGCACGTTTTCCTTGAAATATGATTGAACTTTTAGGGACATCGAAAACCAAATAGAAAAATGAATGCCACATACGCAGTCATTTTTCACAGAGTGTAGGTTTTGCATGCAGTCGGTTGGAAGTTCATTCGAAAGTCGGTATCCCGAGGTAACTGAGATATTATAGAATTATGCTGCACGATGATTGGTTTTTCTACCCTACTTGATCAATCTTTTCGAAACGAGAACGCATTTCGGGATTTCGGTTGACATTTCATGCGTTTGCCCACCTACTGTATGTGGAGAAATGACCACTAATCTCATTTATCTTGTCCTTCTTTCACGTCAGAGCGCTCTTCGCAGCGACCAAGGTCACGTGCCTTGCAAGTTCTGGTGCATTTAATGGACAGTAGTCGCAAATCAAGTCAACTAATCACTCTTGTGCGGGTAGCAAAACCCGAATGACAAAATGCGCAAAGCGCCGCTCTGCGCTCGGAAGCTGCCAATTTTGGTAGGTGTGTCTGGCGACGACGCAGCAACAGTCACTCATAAATAATGCCAACTAAATGTCGAACTATAATACCTCAGTTTATGAGTATTGAAATGTTTTATCAGAAAAAACGATTTTTGAGCATACAACCGTTTAAGCAGCGACGGGTTGCTGCTTTGAATTTCTATCTATATGGAGCAATAACTGCTAATCGCATTTCCCTTGGCCTTCTTTCACGTCAGCGCGCTCTTCGCAGCGACCAAGGTCACATGCCTTGCAAGTTCTGGTGCATTTAATGGACATTAGTCGTAAGCCGCGTCAACTAATCACTCTTGTGCGGGTAACAAAACCCGAATGACAAAATGTGTAAAGCGCCGCTGTGCGCTCGGACGCTGCCAATTTTGGTAGGTGTGTCCGGCGACGAAGCAGCAGCAGTCGCTCATAAATAATGCCAACTAGAGGCGTCCACTAACGTTATCTGCTGCCATTTGGCTCAAGGATGGATCCGGAATGCCAGCCGAATGAAGTACTTGCTCCAGCCAGTGAATCACCCCTCTTCTCGAGGCCAGTCTACTTTATTACACGTCCTCCAGATTTTGTTTGAATGATGGCCGCTTCAGCTGTCGGTTTTCACATTATCTTGTTAATTCTCATAATTTTTCACCGGAGAGGTGCACTCCTTCAAAGTCTGCACACGTCTGTGAAGTGTTTTTTAAATATTAAGCAGCTGACTGAAACCCCTCCAAGGGCTCAGCATCATATAAACTTCGAGACTACGTGGTAGCTATGCCAAGCACATCGATGCTTGCATGTCCTCTGAATTATTCATTTGCCAGAAGAATTTTTACAGGGTTAGATTGCGAATACTAAGACGGAAATTATTGTGGGGTTCGGAAACGCAGTCCTATTTGGACAACAAACAATTGTTTACGTACTATTATTGTTTTCAGTAGGCGGTCAACACTTAAAACTTTCGGAATATTATTGATTTCAGAAAGCAAGTACTACACGCGGGTACTTTCAATTTGAGGCGCTTTGCAGACTGCTGCGACTGCGATTCATAATTTCGCTAGGATTCGGGTTTTACGATTAGGCATAGGGCTTAGGTGATAGAAGCGAACAGGCGAGTTGCAGATAGCAGTTCAGAAGATAAAGATGCGATCACTGGAAGAAGAAATGTATTGGTCCGACGGTTCGGATTCTCATTCGAATCCATCATCAGAGACAGGCGAAGATAAAGGCACTCCAACCTACGGACTGACAAAGTGGCTGTTTAGACGTCTCAAGTTTCTGACCTCCGATTCGAACACAACACAATTCTTGGAGAAACTTAAAGGAGTACGTCTCCTGCCCAGCGATGTCATGGTTTCCTTAGATGTCACGTCCCTTTTTACTTCGATCCTGCAGGACCTGGCAGTCGAGACCATCGAACTACTCTTACGGGAGAAATACGACGAAACGGAGAATCGCCTCGGACATGCCCAAATCATCCACCTCCTGAAGTTCTGTCTCAAGACGTACTATACGTTCGACGAAACAATCTACGAGCAGGTGAGGGAAACACCAAGGGGTTCGCTGATTTCGGGACTCATAGCCGAGGTGGTCCTACAGCGGTTGGCGAAGTTGGTTTTCCGACATCACAGACCGAAATACTGGCCTCGGTATGTGGATGGCACCTTCGTCATCATCGAACGGAACCAGGCGGTGGAATTCAAAGGACATCTCAGCGTCGTCTTCCCGGACATTCAATTTACGATGGAGGAGGAAGAAGACAACCAGCTGGCCTTACCGGATGTTCTCGTCTACCGCAAATGTTAAAGTGGTCCGGAGAGCGGCAAATACGACGCAAATACTGAACATAAATAGCAACCACCCGATCAGTCACAAACGCAGTTGCGTAAGGGCGCTATACCGGCGTGTTGAGACATACTGCAGGGCAATGGAAGACAAGGTTGCTGAATTACAATATCTTCGGGGATGATGTTGTGGCAAGCGGACGAACAGACGAGAAGGTGACGTCAGATTCTTGTTTTTGTTTGTGTCCAGGCGGTTAACGCGGCGGCACTTGATTGAAGGACTCATATATAAGGCCGTAGGAATGTTGACATTTCCTCTTTCTAAGAGAGAGGGAGACAGAGTAGTCGATTTATTTTGAAGTCATAAATTCAAAGTGTTCCGCAAACAATTGGCTCCATTCACTATGAGCAGCAAATAAGTTAAGAGATTATTCCCGAATCAAGCAGTTTAACACAAAAGGAACGATTATTATGAGGACAGTTCAAGTCTTAGCTTCTGTATTTATATCTCTTCGCACGTAAGATAGCTCGCCAATGTGCGACAAGACATAAGTCGGAAGCTGCGGCGCGTCGGGCGGGAAGACTTCGCAGAACTAAGATCAGAATGTAAGGGATGGGCAGCGTCATCTATAATCCGACCAGCAAATTGCATGACCGTATTGAAATGTCGACTAAAAAAGATAAGAAACACCAGCGGCAGAAGAGAGCATTCGGAGGACTCGTTTTAAAATTAAAAGATCTTTTGTGAGCAAAGCAGGAAAAATGAAATGAGAGCAGTATAGGATAAGAGAAAGAATGCAGGCATCGATGAATTGCCAGATTAAAGGTTGAGGTATGTGGTGGGGACGTAAACGACGAATGTAATAAAGATGATGACGGTGGCGGTGGCGGTGGTCATGGTGGTGGTAGTAGTAGTAGCAGTAGTATTAGTAGTAGTATTGGTGTAAGGAGGTGCATACTTCGCTTCCCGGCAAACCAATTAAACGGCTGAGGCGATTCGCGATGCAACGCTTGTTGCCACTGTCTGCCGGGATGCCAAAATTTTGTGGTGGCCTAAAAACCAAAGTGTTCAGGAAAGCGACAAATAGGACGCAAATACTGAACATAAATAGCAACCACCCGATCAGTCACAAACGCAGTTGCGTAAGGGCGCTATACCGGCGCGTTGAGACGTACTGCAGTGCAATGGAAGACAAGGTTGCTGAATTACAATATCTTCGGGGGTACTGAGAGCCAATGGCTACCCGCGCAATTTTACCAACCAGTGAATACGAAAACGACACCAGAGACCAAATCCAAACGGTCCCAAATTTTGGCGGGCTCTTCTGTACGTGAAGAACGTCTCGGAATCGTCAGTCGTCTTCGCACTCAGTTTGGAGTTGGGATTTCACGCAGGCCGGAAGCAACCATCAGGCACCAAGTCATGAGGTCGAAAGACATAATTTTCTACCGAATGAGCAAAAGACTGAATATTTTTATGCATGTTTTCTATGAAGTATAATTGGATTTTAAAAGACATTGAAAATTAAAGCGCAAAATGCATGCTGAATAAGTGGTCATTTTTTACAAAGCATAGTTTTTGCATGCAGCCGTAAGGAGGTTCGTTCAAAAGCCGGCATCCTGGGCTATCTGAATTATTATGGCATTTTGCCGCAAGCTGATTAGTTTTACGACCTTACTTAATTAATCTTTTCGAAACGAAAACGCATTTCGGAATTTTGGTTGACATTTCATGAGCTAGCCCACCTACTGTATATATCAGGTCCACGTGTAATAAATGCTTTGGTCAAGATTGAAAAATTAAGCCAGCCCAGTTTTTAAAGCACTCGAGAATCTCGGCGATGTCATCGATTGCCAGTCGACACGCTACCGTCCTGAAATCTGGATAAGCCACTGAACACCGCTCTTATAGGATTCCGTCCTCCCGACCACAATCGACATGACGCGAGCTCGCCTGTGCAGTAGTGAGGACGTTGCTCCACGATCAGCTGATCGAGGGTTCAAATCTCGGGCATGTCCTTCCTAATCATTGTTTGTTAGTGGAAATGTGCCCCCCCCGCGTGGACTGTAAACTATCTGGCGTCCACAATGGGCTGCATTGAAAGTGCGCTGGGCAAAAAAATCATGGCTAAACTGGCTCACGACACGTTTTTATCAGGGTGCCTCGAGTCCTCGCGAATCCAGAACTGTTGCTGTGACTGGCACGCCTTAAACGTGGGCCAACACTCAGCCATGGCGCCTAATCCTGTCACTAACTGGTTGACGGGTTCGGCAGTCATTTGTTGCTTGTGAGAGAGAAGAGAGAGAGAGAGAGTAGAGGCCGACACTGGGGAGTCCGTTGTCTCGACGAGTCAGCACTTTCCTCACTATAAAAAATCCGGCGCAGTTAAATATATCCTGAAGTGCTGAGAGACTTGGTTTGGAAGTTGGCCAGCTGGCGGGGATCGTAGTGGCCCTACTCTGAGCGCCTATCGCCCCCAGCCACCCTGCATGGATGGCGAATCCAAGTCAGGACGGTGGGATATGAAAGCGAATGCAGTCTCTGAAAAGTTGACCAAAACGTCTACGCGTGCCATGCACGACCCGGTAGTCAGCGCACGCACCAGGCCTGACTCCCATAGAACATAAACGAGAGTCAAAGTGATCACATTCAAAAGGAGTCATTTGAGTCTGGCCCTCAGTTTTTAGAGGGATCAGTTAACAAGGGATGAAGAGCATGCCGAACAGCTGCCTTTTTTGACGTTCTCGTCACACACACACCCAACGGCGAACTTAACACCACTAACACGACTCAGGTTCTCAACTGCCACAGTAACCACCCAATGGCGCATAAACGCAGCTGTGTTAGCATACTCTTCCAAAGGGTAAAAACGTACTGCAGTGAGCCAGAGGGACGAGTACGAGAAATTCGCCGTCTTCGGAACCAACTGGCAGGGAATGGATGCCCGAACACCTTCGTCAGGCGCTGCTTTCGCACACACCCACGGCGAACAAACGGAGGAGAATCGCCAACAGTCTGGCTCCCTCTACCATATATAAAGAACGTGTCCGAAGAGATGGAACTTATCGCTGGAGAGCTCGGGTGGGTACTGCTCACCGTCCGACAGCGACCATGCGCAACAAAATCATACGAGTGAAGGATCGTCTAGACGTGGGAGAACAATCGGGTGTCGTCTGTCAGATCCCATGTCGGAACTGCCCTTGCCACTACACAGGACAGACCGTACGACGACTTAGCTCACGAATAACGGAGCACAAACGGGCGGTCCGGAGAGGCGACCCGTTGTCTCAGGTTGCCACTCACAACCTGGAGGAAGGCCACGAATTCAACTTCACGAGCACGCAGATAGTAGCGCGGGGCAACAATAAGGCAGGGCGAGAACTGTTGGAGGCCTGGGTGTCTGACACCAACTCTATCCACAGACACTTTGACATACCCCCTGCTATCACGCGTTCCGTTCCCGCGGCCAAGAGGCGAGACCCAATTTGCAGGCAAGGGTGCACGCAGTTACGCCACCGTGAGACGGTCTGGGGCTCAGCTTATCGCGAATACCACCCTCTGCACTCATACCCCCCCTCGCTTCATGACTTGACCACAAAAACAGTTCATTTGATGTCGCATTCTCGCAGTCTCTGACGATGACCTCCTTTACGAAACCGAAAGCTCAGACTAATACACCCACTGTCCCAGAGATCGGGTCTTCATCTTCTTTACAACAAGAACCTGGGATTCGCATATTCGCTTTCATCCGTGTGATGACCCTTTTCCGAGTGCCTGCCACAAAAGCTGAGCCTCCCGCGAGTGTCAGCACGTGTGCACTATGGCTGTCTGGCGTCCGTCTACTCGGCTCTCCAACTGGCCAATCAGACTCAAGACCGAGCCAGACGTGCTCCGGCCTGGGACGATTCGACGCCTTCCCTGGCACACACTTGGAACGCCGCTTTCCCATTGAAGGATGCGCTATCCTCTGGCTGCCAACGCCTTCCAATCCCTTTTCCACTTGTTCTGTGCAGAAAATACAATCCTTCAACTGGCGTCCACCGGGCCTGAAGGTCGTGGTAGCCAGGGCCTCACTGTCGGCTAAGGCTTTTGTGATAGAGTTATCACGTCCGTTGGCATCTCCCCAGGCCAAGACTCTAAGCGCGTCCTGATAGATTCAGGTGCGTCAGATTTATCATGGTGAGGAATGCGCCAAGTCTCCCTGTGGACAAATTTACTTAGCATCAACCCCACGCACTCTGGCCTCTCGCGTGCGCCAATCAACTGTACGCACTGGATAGCCAATGAGTGATGAGACTCCTTCAATCCAACTATTCTTCCTTCCTCTTTTTTCACCCGAACTCCGGTCTTGGAAGGGAGACGTGTAGTGGCCCTACTCTGAGCGCCTGCCTCAACGCTGGGCTTCTCGCGAATGTCTGCTCGTGCTCGTCAGGGCTGCCTGGCATTCGCCCACCCGGTTCTCCAACTGACCAATCAGATTCAAGGCCGAGTCAGACGTGCCCTGCCCTTAGACGCTTTGACGCATTCACTGACGGAGACTGGGGGACACTGCTCATCCGTCGCCGGACGTGCCCTCATCCGGCAACCAACTCTATCCAACTCCCTTACCAGTTATTCTGTATAGAATAAATTATTCTCCCAACTGCTGTCCGTCTTCTCTTTCCATTCGGGACCGGGCCAGGGTCTTTCACTCTCGGCTTAGGCTTCTGCGGTAGGATAACTCGTTCTTTCACAGGATCGAGAGTCAGGCTGAAATGACTCCTTCCAGATGTGGTCCTTTGACACGGCCACTAAATGAGAGATCCAAGCTGCCCTCACAGAAACCCTGATATATGTAGTGGGACAAGGTTGTGTGTTACACGCGGAGACGGGCTGTCTAGCTTTGTTAACCATTGGGCAAGATCTTATTTCGTAGCTGTACCTTATATGGGTCAAGGTTAGGGGTTGGGGCCAGGGGTTAGGGGTTAGGTTGGGGCTTGTCTACTGCGGGTATGGCCACGAACTAAGATCCGACCAACCAT